ACCCTAACCCCTAACCCTAACCCTAACCCTAACCCTAACCCTAACCCTAACCCTAACCCTAAAACCCAAATCGAAATGCTGCTAACCCTAACCCTAAAACCCTAAACCCCTAAGCACCCAATACGTCCTACAGCACTACCCGGACCTAATGCTACCCCCGCTAAGCCGCGTAGAAACCGATAGGGCCCAGGAATTTCTAGGCCAGCCAGACAACCGCCGGGATACCCCCCGCTCTAGAGCCTAAAGACTGGTAGAAAAGGGCTATCTAGGCAGAGCTGCAAGGGCACTAGTAGACCCCTCAACCCTAGCTAGGAACTCGGCGGATATACTAGCCAAACTAAGAGAAAAACACCCGGAAGGGCAGCCCTACCCCTTTGCCTCCTCCGCGAGCCCTAGACCAGGCCCTAGGCCACTCCCGGAAGACATCTTACAAGCCCTGGCCTCATTTGCCCCGGATACAGCCCCTGGCCTATCCGGCTGGTCAATCCNNCCCTTACTAAGGGAAGCCTGTAAGCATAAACAGGTGGTAGACTTTCTTACCCACCTCTGCAAGCAGGTACAGAACGGCCTAGCACCAGGGAACCAGCTACTTACCGCATCGAGGCTTGTAGCCCTAGATAAGGAAGATAGCGGGGTCCGGCCAATTACAGTAGGAGAGCTCATCTATAGGCTGGTAGCTAAGGTCCTCCTCCAAAAACAGTTCTCTAAGGACCAACTAGCCCCCTTCCAGCTAGGGGTACAGAGCCCCGGCGGGGTAGAGCCAATCATACACCTACTAGGACACGCGGTAGATGGAAACCTTAGAGGATACACCCACGTCTGCTCTATGGACTTTAAAAACGCCTTCAACTCAGTCTCCCGAGCAGCGGTAGCCCACGGGATCCTAAGCTATGCCCCAGAGTTCTACAAGGCAGCTAGATGGGCCTACAACGAGCCAGCAGCCCTAGTGATGTATAACGGCACGGTAATTACCTCCTCGGAAGGGGTTAGACAAGGAGACCCCTCGGCCCCCTCTTCTTCTCCCTAGCCATTCGGACCACCCTCCAACAGCTACAACAACAGCTACAGAGGTCAACCGGCTATAACAGACCCCCTCCTATCGTCCTAGCATACCTAGACGACGTCTACATCATCTCAGGGCAACAGATCACCCTACAACAACTAGAAGGCTACCTAGAAGACGCCCCTATCGCCCTAAACATAGATAAGACAAAGACACACCCCTATCGGCAATACAGACCACGGGAATGAAGATACTTGGCTCCTTTATAGGGCCAGAGCCACGGAAGGCCGAATTCCTGGCTACAAGGATAGAAGAACTCCAGACGGTGCTAGATAGGCTAAAAGACCTACCAAAACAACACGCACTCCTCCTACTTAGGGCTAGCACCTCTACACTACTCCGACACCTTCCTAGGACCATAGGATCACAAGGACTCCTGGCAAGATTCCAAGACATTGACATAAGACTCCTAGAAACCATAAAACACCTTCAAGGCTCAGAGGATAGAAGACCACTAGACCAGGACCTAGTAGCCCTCCCTACTAGGCTAGGAGGCCTAGGAATACCTCTCTACGCGGAAGTGGCCGAGCTAGCCTTCCAAAACTCACAGGCTATAGCAGACATCACCCTACAGAGGATCCTACCGCCAAAACTCTTCTGGCGCCTACCCCGAGCACCCTCGCCAGCCCCTAGCAACACTAGTATGGAAGGCCACCCCTAGACTAGCTATAGGCCTACACAAGGCTAAGAAGGCAACCTACAAGAGGACGGCCTAGAAGGGGACATAGACAAGGCCACAGAAGAGGACACACAAGGTCTAGACGAACAAACCACTCTAGGAAGCCAGGAGCAAGAACAGGTACAAGAACAGGAACAGGATCACTCCTAGGACCGCGGTAGAAGCAGGAATAGAGCAAACCAACAACCACAACCAAGCCTATCCTACCTCCTAGCCCAGGACACCCAACAACAGCCTAGCTTTCCCCTAGAACACCAACAACTAGACCCCACTAGTACTGGCCCTGCTAGAACCATCTACCGAGCTGCAATAGACAAGCTTAACAGAGCTCGACTAGCTAGAGTACAGCAGAAGCTCTCTTTACAGCAAGAGAACGTACGGATCGAGAACTCAGCCTTCCTAGGCCGGAGATGGCTATCCGCAATGCCTACCTCACAGCCCCTTCTACTCTCGGACATGGACGTAGCCGCAGCACTTTCTATTCGGCTTCTTACATCCCCTGAAGAAGGCCAGGACATCTGTAGACACTGTGATAGGGCCTATACCTTCGCCCACGAAGACGCCTGCCGTGCTAGGACTAGACAGACAATTGTCAAACATAATAAGGTGTGCCAGGCGTTAACTACGGCCCTACAGACCGACCCACAAAACAAAGTCACCCTAGAGCCACAAGGAGACTACCGAGGAATCCGGACAGACATTAGAATCGACAACCCTAAGGGAACCACCTACCTAGATGTGTCCATCATTTCCCTAGGTAAGGAAACCGCTAGGAAGGACCCTAATAGCACCCTATCGGCCGCGGAAAGGGCTAAGAAGCTCAAATACCAAACCCTAGGCCGAGCTTTTAAGCCGTTTATCCTTAGCCAAGGAGGCCTTCTAGGAAAGGAGACCTCACAAACCTACAAAGAATTCCAANAGTCCCTTGGTCCTAGCACCTCGNGGTGGCTAGATAAGTATATCTCTACCACTCTAGTAAGACTCCGGGCTAGGAACTGGCTAGGATATGGTATAGACTAGATAGATTTCTTTTCCTTTTTTTTTCTTTTTCTTTTGTTTCCCTCTTCCTTTTTATCGTACCCTTTTTCTTTGTTCTTATATAGAAAAGTAGTTAGACGAGCAAGAATAGCTTATATAGAAGCGTATCGAAATGCTGCTAACCCTAAACCCAAACCTTCGCCGAGGCACGCCTACCGAGCGAGGCTGGTCCGGGCATCATTCCAGTATTTAAAGATTACGCACCTTACTACCGCTGGACAGGCTGGCGAACGGAACACCCTGTGGCAGAAACAGAGATCGCCAGACAACAGATCCTCCAGCTTGTCGAGCAGGCCAAAGAAGCAGACGATGGGACAGGTCAATGGGTCGCTATCCTCGGCTTCAGCCAAGGCGCAGGATTGGCTGCAAGTCTATTGTTCTATCAACAGATTTGCAGCCCGGGGCAGGAATATAAGTTCGGCGTGCTCATAGCCGGAACGTATCCACTAATGACGCTCGGACCGGGTCAGTCGTCCGCAAATCGAGAAGACCTGGTTGAGAGTAGTGAGTCTGAAAGCCTCGCTGATACCAGGTTGATGTTACCTACTATACATGTGCATGGCTTGCGCGACCCTGATATCAGATACCAGCGTCGACTACTGGAGCAGTGTTGTGATCAGACGTCGGCCAAGTTGTATGCGTGGGACGGCGATCATAGCGTGCCATTTAGCGACGATGATGTCTTGCCAATTGTGCAAGAAATACGTCGGATGGCAAGGAGCCAAGGCGTTCGACTACGATGACAATTACCGCGCAAAACACACAGCCACAATGATAAGTAACTTTGTTGAACGGCATACTTGGGACAAGCATCTAGCCGCTTTCCAGCGGGTATCCTCGAATCGCGACAGCGCAATATCCTGAACCAGTCGCGCTGCATGAGATCACCGACAAAGAATCCGTCGATGCTATCAAAGCCACCAAAGCGCTCAAGGCACCTAGACCGGACGAAATTGCCAACAGCGCTCTGTAAGGGGCGCTCTAGCACTTGCACAACATCTTACCGGTAAACTCAACAGTAGCATCGCATCAGCGTATTGTTCCGCGCATTTTAGATGCACGACGACAGTAATGCTGCGAAAGCCTGGCAAGGACGACTACAAGGTGTCCAAGGCATACCAACCAATTGCTCTATTAAACACTATGGGAAAGGTCCTAGATGCGGTCGTAGCAAGGCGGCCGAGCTACGTGGCAGAAATGTACAGTGTTCTACCAAGCATACCTATGGGCGGCAGACCACAAAAGTCGATGGATCACGCTCTTCACAACATCACGAACGAGATATATTAAGCGCGTAACGCGGGCCGTGAAAAGATCGCCAGCCTAATGTTGCTAGATGTCTCGGGAGCTTTTGACAACGTATCGCACGAACAGCTACTCCACAACCTGCGAGCCCGCAGAATCGGTGGAAGACTAGTCCAATGGGTTGCTAGCTTCCTGAGCGGTCGATTGACAAGGATTTTTGTGGACGGATTTAAGTCACCACTGTATTCGGACTCGACAGGAATATCACATACCAATAGAAAAGTTACTAGTACACTCAGTGCTCTCTACTCGTTTGGGAAGTCAGTATGGGGGCCAGAATGCTCGAGATGCGGAAGCTGTACCGTGGAGTAGCAATTCCACAGATGATGTACGCGTGCTCGATTTGGTCACAAAGTCGAGCGGTGGGTACCAGCTACAAACAACAGACACTGCACACTCTTGAAGTATTGCAGGCAAGAGTGGCGAGAGCCATATGTGGCGCATATCAAACGACATCCGCGATTGCACTGGACGTGGAGACATTGCTCCTTCGATGGAACGACGAATCGAGAAACAGAACATGAACGCGACATTGAAAATTCTGGCGAGCACAAACACGACAGAGGTGAGGTCAGAGGAGGCAAACACTGTGACACGAAAACACATCAGCCCCTTCTGCAACATAAGGCGATCGACGGCTAGCTAAGCGACGGCGAAGCTCGACACGTTGAAATACATCCTGCCCTTTGTTTCGCAACCATGTCGAGTGGAACTGAAAATCTACATTGATCGGGCAAAAGACGTATGTAGCAGGCACGACGCTGAAGCAGTAAAGCAGAAAAGTACCTACGTCTACACCGACAAGAGCGCTAGTGAAGGTCACGTTGGGCCGACAGCCGTCCGTTTGTTAGGAGGAAGGACGGAGAGCGCATAAATGGGAGAAGGCACGGTCTCCACCGTACATGCTGCAGAGCTACAAGACATCGCCCTAACAATCGCACGAGACATTTTCCGAGACAGACATCATACGCCAGCGAGAAATCGCCATCTGGACAGACAACAAAGCAGCGATCCGGTCCCTCAACCGGACCAAGGGTTAATCAGGAGCGTACATATTGAAACACATCGCCCGCCAGATGAATGAACATCAAGGCCAGGGTCACATCGTGACAGTCCGCTGAACACCCTCAAACGAGGGTGTCGAGGAGAATGAGGCTGCCTACATCGCCGCTAAGGAAGCAACAGACTGGTTAGAGAGAAGGCCAAAACGGGAGCACTGAAAGCGATAGGGCAAGCACGTCAGAGCAGCTCCACCCTGTCATAGGCACGTTTAAGAAAGATTTTCCTAAGGATTATTGAAAGAAATGGTAGATCTCGTGGCGCGATGAACCAAAGGAAGATCCACACACAGGTTAACCCTAATCCTGAGCAAGAAGGTCCTGCGGCTCCATGACGGCCTGGCCAAAGGAGAGAGCGCCCTGGTCGTCCAACTCCGGACCGAGAACATCGAACTGAACGACGTTTTCTTCAGTCGAAAAGTATCTGGTATCCTGAAGCCCATGTGCCCATGCTGGGAAGGGTGAAAGACTGTGCGACACGTGCTCTCGACGTGTCGGCGGCTGCGCGACCTCCGGAGCAAGCAATCGGTCGACTTCCCGGATGCGCGAACCTCCGCATCATCCTGAACAAGCAGAAGCTGGGTACAAGAGCCACCAAATATATTGAGCAGGCGCAGATCCTAGGGCAAAAACTGACCGTGGACGAGTTGGCGAAGTCGAGCGCTGGTGGGAGACTGTAGGTACGCCGACAGCGAAAGATGGGATATAACCGTTAAGAGCCTGTGACAGAGTAATCAGTAGAGATCCGACCACCGCCTGGACTAGCTTGCCGGTACAGTCCGACTACATCGTCTAATGAGTTCCAAGCTCCAATCACTACCGCAGATGCTCCTGCTCAGGCGGCACCAACATGCTGAAGAGCCTACGCTTCAAAGCACCACAACACTGATCTGTCTCTTTGCGAGAAATTTGAACAAGCGCTGGCTCGCTTTTGCACACAACTTCGAGCAGAGAGAAGGGCTCATTTTATATTCTCAACATTACAAGAATAACTGAATACCGAGCATCAGGAAATTCATCTTATTTGAATTTATTCAAGTGCACATCCAAGTCCGACACTGCAGGCTCGCTACACCATATGTAATGTGATGTTCCTCTATGAATGATTTTCTATGTAGTCTCTGCGACCTCTCTCGCGAGTGAAGCTCGGTTCAGATAGTCTGCTCTTGAAAATCGGGTCCACGATAACACAAGACATGATCCGCTTCCTTCTTTGCCGCTGTAAGAGAAGGATTGTTCCATGCGGCTGCAATATCCTTAGCAGATCTTATTTCTTCCCCGCGATTAGCAGTCGGCTCTGTAGCACTGATGTGTGATTAATACCTGACGGCTGCCTTATAGAAGGAGCTCGGTCAAGGGCCTGCATAAATCCAACTCGATGATCAGTGATGGATTGTCCTACGCAAAATGGAATGAGAGGCATGTATAGAGCCAGAGCTGCACTGGTCTCAACTCGAGGAGACGGTATAGGGCCGTGCTCGGCCACTTCTGGCGCTGGCTGGAGGGTTGCCCGATCGATAGGACGTTTCCTACGCCGGAACGCCCCCAGCATTAAGGCATGCAGGGCAAGGGGCTAGCCGTGCCTTGGAGCGCCTGCCCTTTTGCAACAGAGCGGGCCACGATTGCTATCAACAATCACAATTGCCGCATTCGCCTTTGGCCGGGATCACATGGGGGCGCAGATGTACATGACCATGTCAGGCAGAGCGAAGACAGACGCTCTGCTAGACGAGTGGATGCGCGCCATGGAGTTCTGCGGGGAGCGACAGCGCGATCGTGCGTCATTTCTACTACTGCGCCGCACGCGTACGTGTCTCAACATATGTGACTAGTCCACCAGCATTGTGATGAGCTTTCTCGGCGCGCCATATCACCAGATCGGGTGTAGTAGTCGCACGCTGCTTTTCAGAAAGGAAAGATCACCTGTTGACACCCCCATTCGACCCTTCGGCCCGTCGGCCCTTTGCGACTACCGGGAGCTAGAACTATTGTATGGCGCGGGGAACGGAGGCCGCAGGTGTGGCGCAGAGACAGAAGTCTGATGTCACTGAAAGTAGTGCATAAAATAGGAACAGGGGTCATAGTTATTGATATTGACCTGCAACCCCGCTTCATCTTCTCCGTCAACATATTATCTCCTCTTTTCTCCAGTCTCTACTTCCATAACCGCCCTGTATGTGTTTGTTCCCACTCCTCACGGGACGTCCCAAGTTCACTTCTGCCGAAGGACACCGAGGGCCTGAAAGTGGCGGTGGATACCGAGGAAGAGGCTACCATGCTGCCCATCCCGTGCCAGCAACACCTTCCACCGGATGGCATAATCATCGGGTGGCACGCATCAAAGACCGGCGTGAAAACATGCATCGCCGCTTGACCAAGTAACGAAGTCCAGGTTTCTCGCAGAGCTTGCAATAACCTGCAACTGGACCGCAAGACAGAATATCCGCAATACTGCCTCACGAGTTCTCGGTGTCGTGGATTCAGAACGTGAGGTCATTCCTCTGGGCCAGTGCGTCAGTCCCTGTCCTTTGGCTGACAAGAACTAGCACGATGAAGGGAGGCGAGGTAAACGCGGGTGGATCACTTCATGTTGCTGTTGTTACGGGAATGCCCAAATTTCTTGTACTGTAGTAGCATGCAACTCTCCAACACAGTCGCTAGAATTTATGCTCACCCCTAAATGCTGCGCTCATATTGTAGTGCCCCATAACTATTACTGATCGCCAGTACTCGTCCTAAGACCAACTGGTTGGCTACAGTGCATAGGTATGCGATCCCAACCCTCGATATCCACTGATCAATTACGCTAGTAATACTCATATTTTCAGAGATCAATAGGTGTCAAGGATTGACACCTGGAACCACGAGGCTGGGGCACGACCCTGTTCCATGCCTTTTTTTCTTTTTTTCTCTTTTCTCTTTTCAATCGTACTCCAATCGGCCCTGCGGCTTTTGCCGAGAAAATTATCTAGCTACTCGGCTTTTCACAGGTACGTGTTTGGTAGCGCCAACATAAGCAATTATCCTGATAGGACCCGATAATCAATTGTTACACACTTGTTTCGCGTTTCGCTTTTCATCGTTGTCTCTTTATGTTGCAGTCTAGTTTATGTGTCCTTCCTTCACGTGCTTGCGCGCCATTGTCTTAGTTTTGGGAGTGCATCTTCTCGGGCGCATCCAGTGTCCTTCTGTTCATCCCGCTGAACTGGTGCCTGTCGACTCTCAAACCCCTTGCGAGATGCCGGGTAAGTACAAGAGAATTTTCCATAACGCCGGAAACAGAGCAACGAATAGCTTCGACTACAGGTAATCTATAAACTGCGAGTGAATTATACGGTGCTGTATACCTTTACACCTTACAGTTAGTTATAGCTTTAGTAAAAGCTCCAACTGGATGTATATATATACATATAAGTTAGTAGCTGTAAGAGTTTATACTAGTATGTAAGGAGGCAAGAACTATATTAAGGTAGGCAGTCAATTGAATAGCTATAAATCCACGGTCAAAGTATCGGTTCGAAGTCACGGGGTAGCAAATTCTCATGAATTTTGAAGTTGAGAATACCGCTCCGTCCCGTCGCTTGTCTGATTCATTCCCGTCATCCTC